GAGGTTCCTTATGAAAATTGATGGGAAGTTTAGGATTTGACAAAAGAGATATGATATTTTTCCTATAATCTGATTCCATGTGAGAGAATAGAATGCTATAATATTATTGAATACTTTGACCTAATATATACACAACTTTAAGCATAAGAAAAAGAAACCTTAAAAATTAATTATTGGTATATCTTTTCAAATATAACCTTATCTCAAAAAAATAATTACAAATATGCACTTTCTAACGATATCTTCCATACCGTTCACCAGCTTAGTGTGAATTACTCCAGGAAGAGGGCAACTTGAGGATTATCACATTAACTAAAAACTTTCATTCGTCTTCATTTCAGTAGAAGATATTGAATCAACAACATCTCATAGATTTCGAACTTAATTAAGAATAACCCCAGCCAACCGGCACATCCCTCAACTTCAATCCACGACGAAGACAAACGGGTGGGTGCCCAAGACAACTCTAACTGCAAGTAATAGCAACTCCACTGAATCCAATACTTCTTATCCGTCCATCAAAAGACTAACGAGGTCTGAGATGGGAGAACGGAGAGCGAAAGGACAATGCTTTAATTGTGATGAGCCTTTTGTGCCCCGACACCAATGTAAATGCCTATTTTGACTCGTATTAGATGGAGACACGGATTTTGAATTGCCTTAATCGAAGGAAGAACCAGTCATATCTCTACATGCTTTCAAGGGCACTCAAGGTCCCAATATAATGCAACTTCAGGCAAAATGCGCAGATAAAAACTTGATCAGTTTGGTTGATTCAAGGAGTGCTCACAACTTTATTAGTAAATATGTTGGACGTCGATTGAGTTTATTTATCCAAACACATTCGAATTAATCAATTTCTGTGGCTAATAGCGAAAAACTGACATGTTTTGGCATTTATACAATTCTGAGATTTACAAGTGCTAATGACCCTTTTACTGTTGAATTTTTTGTTATTCCTTTGGATGAGTTTGATATTGTTTTCAGAATTCTGTGGTTGCGAACACTAGGATCTATCCTTTGGGACTTAGATGCATTGACAATGAAGTTTACAATCGGAGGATAGCAATTATTACTCTATAGCCAACATGCCCCATACTGGTCTCAGCTACACTCATTATGTATCACTTCACTGCAACATCAGCTCACACAATTGTTAGAAGGGTTCACTGATCTTTTTCATGAACCACAGCGTTTACCGCCGGTCTGAAACTCTGATCACCGGATTTGCTTATAGACAGTGTCCGAACTAGCGAGTGCTCGTCCCTATGGTTACTCTCACCTACAGAGAAATGAGATAGAATGTCAATGTGAGTCAATATTACAATAGGACATTATCCCCACAAGTATATCCCCTTTCTTATCACTGGTGTTGCTAGTTCGCAAACACAATAATAGTTAGCAATTTTGCGTCAGCTACCAGACCCTCAATGCTTGCACTATTAAGGACAAATTTCTCATTCTGGTTGTAGAGGAACTACGGGATGAACTCTATGTTACAAAAGTTTTAACCAAACTAAACTTGCGATTGAGGTACTTTCAAGTGCGTGTGGATGCACAAGATATCGAGAAGACTGCTTTCCGACACCACGACCGTTTTGAATTCCTTGTCATGTCGTTTGGCTTGACCAACGCGTCGTCCATCTTACAAACGCTTATGAATGAGGTATTTCGCAAGTACTTACGTCAATTCGTTCTTGTTTTCTTTGACGACATTTTAATCTACAGAAAAACATGGGAGGAACACATGCAACATTTGTGAATCGTGTTTGAGCTATTTCGGAGTCACCATCTGTATCTCAAACAGTCCAAATACTCGTTCGGACAAATGTAGATGGTGTACCTTGGCCATATCGTCTCCGCTGAAGGTGTCACGGCTAATCCCTCCAAAATTCAAGCTGTAGTAGACTGGCCCGCCCCTCACTCGGTGACTGCCATGCACAGATTATCTGGGTTGATGGGTTACTACCGCAACTTCAAACAGAATTATGCCTCTATTACGACTCCCCTCACCGCAGTGCTTTGATGCAATGCATTTTAATGGACACTTGAGGCTACTCAACCATTTCAGACACTCAAACAGGCACTTACCACTGCCCTGGTGCTCCAACTACCTGATTTTGACGTGGAATTCATCGTTCAATGTGATGCTTCAGGTGACGGGATAGGAGTGTCCTACGCCAGCAGTGACACCCTATTGCATTTTTCATTTGCACACTAGTAGCTCGACATGTAAAGCTGGTTGCTTATGAAAGAGAGCTAATCGGGTTAGTCAATGCAGTGCAACATTGGCGACCCTACTTGTGGGGACATACTTTTCTTATTCAAACTGATCATTTTAGTTTGAAAGATTTACTAGAACAGGACCTGACCACTCCTGCGCAGCAGCATTGGTTGAGCAAATTAATAGGCTTTTCATTCCGAGTGGAGTACAAACCGGGTACACTGAATGCTGCCGCTGATGCTCTTTCACGTAGGGATGAATCTCGTGGCTGCCTCCTTGCCATTTCACAGCCTTGTGTCTTACTACTTGATGAATTGAAGACCAAAATCCATAATTCCACATAATTGCAGCAGATGGTGTCCCGCGTAGAGGCCAGAGACTTGGGTGACGCATGGGCAGTTGGAGATAGACTGATTTTCTACAAGAACCGCTTATTTCTTCTGCTGCAATCACCCTTAGTAAACTCCATAGTCACTAGCACTTATGATAGCTCTCACGAGGGAGTTCAGAAAACACTCCGACGCATTCGTAAGGATTTTTACTGGGAAGGGTTGCAGTCTTTCATCCATAAGTACTTCACCTCCTGCTCAATTTGCCAGCGGAATAAGGCTGCCCACTTGAGCCCCACCAGATTACTACAACCTTTGTTCCTGCCAGATCAGATTTGAACTGATCTGCCAATGAACTTTATAGTGAGTCTTCCCAAATTACAAGGCAAATCAGTTCTTTTTGTAGTAGTTCATCATTTCTCAAAGTACGACCATTTCATTCCAATTGACCATCCTTTCATTGCCACAACTGTCACACGAGTATTTTTTTAGTAGATAGTTCGTTTTCATGGATTGCCGGAATCTATCGTGATTAATCGTGATACTGTCTTCACTAGTAATTTTTAAAAAGAGCTATTTAACCTTTGTGGAACAAAGCTGTCCTTCTCCCCGGCTTACCATCCCCAGTTTGATGGGTAAACAGAGGTACTTAACCGCCCTATTGAGATTTACTTACATTGTTTTGCAGGTGATAAGCCCAAAACTTGGGTTCAGTTGGTTCCATGGGCAAAATATTGTTACAACACCTCCTTTCATAAAACCCTAAGGATGTTGCTATTTTAGGTAGTTTATGGACGGCCTCCATCCCCTCTAGTGCCCTAACCTGTGGGTACGCAAAAGTAGATGCTGTTGACCGGGCATTGCTGACTCGTGACGAACTCTTGATGCTCATCTGTTGTTGCCTGCAACAAGCACAACACCGCATGAAAATCGTTTATGATAAGAATCACCGGGATGTTACAAATCAGCTGGGAGATTTCATGTGGTTGCGACTACATCCTTATCAGCAACGATCTCTTTAGGGTCCAGCCATACATAAGCTTGCTCCAAAGTAGTATGGCCCCTTCCATGTGTTCAAGTGTATTGGTTCTGTTGCCTATCAGCTGGACCTACCCCTAAACTGTTAGATACATAATATGTTTCACGTATCACTGCTCAAGCCATTCAAAGGTTCCCCTTCGACTGCATCAGTCCAGCTTCCTCCTATCACTGATGGTCGTGTAGACTTTCAGCCCCAATCTGTACTTTGTTTCCGCCTTAACCGGGGCAAAACAGAACTCTTGGTGCAGTGGATTGGTCTCTCATTGGATGACGCCACTTGGGAGACTATTAGTTTCAGTAATCCTTTCCTTATTTCAAGCTTGAGGACAAGCTTGTTGGTCAGACATTCAAAGGTTCCCCTTTGACTGCGCCAGTCCATCTTCCTCCTATCACTGATGGTCGTGTAGACTTCCAGCCCCAATTTATATTTTGTTCCTGCTTTAACCGGGGCAAAACATAACTCTTGGTCCAGCGGATTAGTCTCTCACTAGATGACGCCACTTGGGAGACTCTGGATCAGTTTCAGGAATCCTTTCCACATTTCAAGCTTGAGGACAAGCTTGTTAGCCAGGCAGGGAGTAATGTTGTGAATGCTTTCATCAGGAAAGCTTATGGTAGGCATTTTAAGGAAAAAGCTGCATAAATGCCAAATCAGGGGAGAGTTTCTAATTATGAATATTTCAATAATAGCTGGTTTTCTTAATAGTGTAGGAGTTTTATTTTCAGTAGTTGTTTGCTCCTTAAGTTTATTATTTCCTATCAAATTTTGAACTTCCTAATAAGTTATGTAACCCCTATTTAAAGAGGCTTCGCTCTATAATAAAGCAAGTCAAGAGGTGGAGTCTCTCTCAAAAGAGGTTTAAGGTGTCAGCTCCCTTTTGATGAGCTGTAGTTATTCACAAAGATAGGTTGTAATGGGAATAAAAACAAGGGCATTAATCCCTTGAGCGAGGAAGACTTTATTGTCAACCGCCCGGTGACAACGTCGTCGGTTAAGGAATACAACAAATAGATGTCCAAATTTAGAGTATTTTGATTTCTTAAATTGTTATCTTTTTCTCACTGTTAATTAGCTTTATATAGGTGAAGCTAATAATCAAATACATCAACATGATTAAGAAAATTAATGTTGCATGTATATGACCTTTCCATAATAAATTTACTGACGATTAATGAGACATGCATATGACCTTTTAATGATACACGAACCTAAATGATACTAACATGTACGAGTACATGTATGAGAGCACCTATATGCTCATTCATTTATTTAGGAAATACTAAAGGTTATGAAGCACTATTATTAGTTAAGTTAAATCATTTTTCAAGAACTTGTCTATAAAAATCTCTACTAATAATATTCTGCTTCTTCTTAGATGATAGTAATTAGTTTGTCCAACTTGCAGTAAGAGTGGTGAAAAGAAGAGGAAACGCCCTGTCATGGCCCTTCCTGATGGATCTGGTTGGGGTGATCACATACAGTTGCTACAAATCTATGAACAATGGGATCAAAATGACTATGATATTGATTGGTGCAGAGATCATGACTTGCGGGTATGTTTCAATTCCATTGTGAATACTGGTTCTTCTGTTATAAGCAAGAGTTACTTTTTTGTCATAATTTTTGAAGAATGGAAATGCAAGGCCTATTTCTTAAAAAGAAAAAGGGAATGTGAGGCTAAGAGATAGAGAGAGCATGGGCAAGTTGTCTATCTTGGTTCTTGGCAAAGCTCTTCTTCATGTTTATTACCGGTGAAGTAGTTCTTTATGTTCACTATTGGCAAACTAGCTGATATGGTACAAGTAATGTAGAACCACAGTTATTTTACAATCTAGGGAAATAGAGGGAAAAGATTGGAAGAGAATAAAAGACTAGATAGATAGAGTGAAACAGGGAATATAGATGAAGATTTTAGAGAGAGAATAGAAGAATATCAGGCCAGCTCACAATAGAGCTACCTACTACAATAACCACCTAAAAATGCATATAGAGAGTACCAAAACAGAACATGGAAAACTGAAATAAACTTAACTGGAAAATTGAAAATTAACTTGCTGGCATACTTCACATGTACTTGCTGACAGAGACTGGTTCAAGAGTCAATGACATCCATTTAGTGGGTTGGTTTACAAAAGGTTTACACATGGAAACAAGAAGAGGAAAGATTCATAAATTTCCTTCACATGTATAGATAATTTTATTTTCCCGAGATGTAGGAGTTGGTTCTTCAGTTAATGGGAGTTACATATTCCTTGCGAGGGAGGAGGATAGGTTAATGGTCTTTATAGGAATGTCTCCTTAGCATTTTACAAAGAGATTGAAAAGCTGCCTGTATTGGTTTAAGTTCTCTCTTTTCATTCTTTATCTTGGAGGACATTGTGTCCTCCATTTATGTACTTCCTTCTCTTCTCTTTCTAATAATGTTTCTTCTTTATTAAAGAAATGATGTATGGCAATCTTAATACTTGCAGGTGCGAGGGATGATGTTTGTCAAAGATATCAGGAAACAACTATGTCAGATAATGAATAAAACAGCTAACAGTTAGTATTCTATCTTAGTTTGTATGAGAAAAAATAATACTTGAGATTTCTGTTATTTCAAATGCTACCATGTCACTCTACAAGGTGGTGAATATCTTGGTAGAATATTTTAAAATGCAACCAGTAATGCTATTTTGAATATGATTTGCACCACCATCCTTTAACTTTATCAGAAGATGGATGCACAAAACCAATTCCTCCCCCTCCCACCACATGTTTTTTTGATAAGGCCGCTGTGACAAGAATACGAGCATGGACATAAAGCATGAGATTCTATTGAAGCATTTTGCATTTGAACTCTGTATCATGTTGTCTTTATATGGTTTTGTTGTGTCCATGCACCTTTTCTTTCACCATTGATTTTTCACTTTTGTTATGTAACTGGAAAGTAGGTTCGCTGGATGTGCAAGCAAGTGAAAGATGGAGAGAAAATCAACAGGATTACAAGAACTTGAGAAAGGCTTTGTGTAAAGGCTATGCGAACCAGCTTGCCGAGAGAATGATTCATCATAATGGATATCGGACGCTGGGTTTTAGGCCCCAACTAGTTCAGGTGTTAACTTGAAAAGTTCTAGTTTCAATTCAGTTATATTATCATGAGCTAACAATGGTTTTTGGAGGCATGATAAGGAGTTCTCAACATCTGTATTTGATAATGCTCTAAATTAACTGAAACTCCCCAAAAGTTGTGAAGTTCATAGATCACAAAAAGTGAAAAGCTTTGAATAAAGATGCTTCAGCTTGTTCCATGAATTCATTTTACTTTTCCTGAATGCGGGTTGTCTTTATGTTAGGTGCACCCATCCTCTGTGCTAACAACAGATGAAGAAGGGATGCTTCCGAATTATCTCGTGTATCATGAGCTCATTTCCACGTCACGTTCTTTCATGCGCAATGTGTGCGCGGTAGAGATGCCATGGGTCATGCCAATTTTGAAGAAGTTTGAGACTCTGAATATCAGCAAATTGAGGTATATCAGTTTTCTCAAAAGTATTCCTCAGGAGCAAGTGAAAATGAGCTTTTCTCTGAGCATTGGGCTTTTTTATGAAGCAGTGGTGGCTCGGCTTTCCGTCAAGAGAGGACTGAGGAGAAACCATCAGAGATATCAAATAGCAGAGTTATTGCACCAGCTGATGATCCTGAAAGTAGAATCCAGGCTGCTAGGGACCGTTTCCTCGCTCGTAAATCAAAGAGATAAAAAAAAGTTTAGTTAATCAACTGCAGAAGTGAATTGGAGTGAAGAAAAGTTAAAAGTGGTGGGATCTCTTTGTAACTAGAAAAGAAAGCTGGTGAGGGTTGAAATGGTCTTTTACTCATTTATTTATGATTTCAGTTTACTCAATCTATAAGATCCAATGATTCACATATTACAGGGGACAATACTAGAAGATCTCCAAGTCCTAGCTCATAATCATATCGGGGTGTCTGCTTCCCAACACTGCATGTTGATCTCTAGTCGCAGCTGGACCCAGTTTGTACGAGCACAAAAGGTACAATCAATATGGGTAGACATCTCTTTCATTACACTCTGTTTGGTACCCCTTTTCTTTCAATTGAAGGGAAAAAAAAATGGTCTGGTTCAATTATATTACTTTAATTATAACTGTTGTAAAGCTTTACCTCTGTTGACATTTTAACGTTTATTTTCATATTTTTCTCTTTCGTACTTTTAATACTTGTTGTGAAATCTTTTGAATTGTTTTTTTTTTTTTTTTTGTTTTAAAGTAGAATCATATTTTTAGAAATTTGTATTTGGGTGACATATCCTCTTTCTATTTCCAACTCTCCCACCACTCTGTTCTATTACAGTAATATACTTTTATGACAGTAATTTAAAATAA